CTAACTTATACATATAAAAATAAATTTAAAAAAACGTTTATTGATTTATAACTTTTTTTCCCGTTTTTTTCCGGAGCCAACCCCCTTAAATCCCTTGAATCGCCATTTAATTACACATTTACAATTTCAGGTATAAAAATATAATTGTTGTGAGTAGATTTGTATATTGCGCACCAAGTGATTTGTATATGTTTATTTATTTATTTATTTATTTTTATTGCAAAGCAGATAAAGTTCTAAAAGTTAGGGTTCTTTTACCAACGTCATTAACCCCCCCCCCCCCCTCTTCCCCCTTTATTTACCCCACCTGACAAGACATATTCTGACCCAAAATCTTCAGTATGACGGCGGTATGGTTAACGACAACGGTAAGTATACAGGTAATGATGGGATATAATAATTAATATGGATATGGTGAGGATTTAATATGGTTTTGGTTAGCAACAGGGTTAGGGATTTTGAGATGGCTATGGGGAAAGATAGCGATAGGTACTGATATAATATGTATTGTGTAGTGGGGTAATTACAAAGGGTGGTAATTAAGAGGAGTTAATTGATCTGAGGGCTAACGACCGGAGGGGGGGTAGTTGTGGCTACCGTCTTACACCCAGGTACAAAATTTCACACTTTGGATCAAATTAACATTGAATTTAGTTATAATTATATGCTTATTTTAAGTTAGGTTTTAATATTATAGGCAAGTCTATGCATATTATATAACATTTAATACCTATTGGTCGCTGTTATTTATTGTCTTAGAAAAAGAGTATGCATTATTTTTTTTACATCAATTCACGGTGTAAAAAGCTATATACTATTCCGAGATGTAATGTTCGTATATACTAATTGTATAATAGTTGGATGTTGGTCACTTGGAGAGGGAAAGTTTTTGTCTAATGGTTTGACTATGATGGTAAGTATATTTTTGTAACAAAACGTGATGTCATTGTGTGGCAGGTTATGTGTAGGTTATTTTTTAGAATCGCGTGCTGTTTTTAGCGTAGCACGATGTAACGCCTTTTAATTTTTCTTAAAATATTTTTTTAAAACAAAAATACGTAGGCCTATGTGTGTTAAGATCTACTTATTTTTTGATATGGCTATAAATGGCTCTAGCAATGCCTATCCGATAACGGCTAGTGTATATATATATATATATATATATATTAGCTGCATCCCGTGCTCCGCCACGGTAAATCTTTTTTTAAATGTACCAACTTGGGAACAGATTAAAACTAAACACAACACAAACGGACGCAAAATAAAAACACAAAAAAAAACACAACACGCATAACATAAACACATCTTAAATGCAATCATAAAGGCTTATTGCTCACAGTCTAGCCCGTAACGCCAAATTGCGCCCTTTCCGAGCGCCTGCGGACGCGTCTGACACAGTGAATGACCATAAAACAGAGGCGTAGCGACCCTTTCCGGCGCCCGGGGACAAACTTTCAATTTGACCCCCTCCCCCTCAAACTTACGATTTGCACGCCCTCCCCTCAAAATTTCAATTTCCAATCCACCCCCTAAAACTTTCGATTTGCACCCCCTTCAGACTTTCGATTTGCACCACTTTTGTTTTGAAATTTCCCCCGCTCAAACTTTTGATTTGCACCCCCCTCAAACTTTCGATTTCCACCCCCCCCCCCCTCGCAAATTTTGTCCAACCCACTTTGGCGCCCCCTAAGGTCGGCACCCGGGGACATATGCCCCCCCCCCCCCTCCCCTCGCTACGCCTCTCCTATAAAACCCCCAGCTTGTCCGCAAACCGAAAGATAGAATAATAATAAATAATATACAATAAATAATAGGCAATATTTAAAATATCCGTGTTTTACCTACCATATATCACTTTATCAATTCATTTTTTTTCCAGTACATTACGTTTTAAAAATTTATAATAGAGTTTCATAACTAAAACAATTGCGCACCCAATGAACGTGATGACGCGAATATTATAGTGCGGAATATTTGATTAAAAATTATAAGTAGTAAACAGTACATCCAGTGAATAAAATAAATAAAATCCATAAATATCAATCCATGCTAATTATAATTTTCTAACAATAATTTCCTCTTCCACATCCGCACAATTTGCATTCACATTTTGCTAATTATATTATTGCAACACTAATTCCTTCTAGGACGTCCTTAGATTTGCATTCAAATGTTTTTTTATTAGCGTGAGTTTAATTTATTTTTAAATTACCTCTCTAGTCAAAATTTGAAAAAAGAGTTAAATTAATTTGATTTTTCTACCCTACTGTTATTATGTTATTAAATTTATCCACTTTTTCTAGGAATATAAACGAAAATGATATTTAAGATTGATCCTTTTAATATGTTTTAGCAATGTACGTGTATTTAATATTTTCTTTACATTATGCAAAAGATTAAAAACAGTGGCATTTATAAAATAACTTTATGTTGTTATATAAACAAACCCTGCTCTATCATCGAATTATATATAAAGCAAAGTGGTCAGATGCCCGACAGGGCACTTCCCGGCGCCGCAGGCGCGTCAAATTTGGCACGATGGTGCCTTGGGGCGATAGAACACGAGGGCCGGTGACGGTTTGGCCGAAAAATCCACGGAGAGGGGGTCAAAACTGACCTCGACTGACCGGCGCCTTATATGGGCTCTATTACGAAAAAAAAATTCCTCCGACGACCCCCCTTGAAATTTTGTGAGGTGGTAGGAGAACGCCTTGGGGCGTCACAAAAAACTCGCCATGTCCGGGAAAATTCGTTAAATGGGTCAAAACTGACCAGTCGTATTTCCCTATATAATCTTTGTATTTTATGTGAAAAATAGAAGGTGATTTCAAAACGGATTTTAGGGCACTTACTTTCTTTACATCTGGCTAATTTTTTGCATGCTCTTATGTAAATGGCTTGACCTTTAGGGAAAACTGTCGGTTTGACTCAAAGCCCTCGACGAGGGCTAAAAAGCGACCGCGAGTGAAATTCTCTTTATATGAGCTCTATTACGAGCTTTACATCTGGCTAATTTTTTGTATACACCTCTAAAGATGACTACGCCGTATGGAAAAACTGTTGGTCACACTTAAAGCCCTCCAAGAGGGCGAAAAATAACCGCGAGCGAAATCCTCATTATACGAGATTTGGTCATTTGGTCTATTAACAGGGGAGGTAACTTTTTAATGTAATAATTTTTAAATATTTCGTAATCTCTTTTTAAGAAAAAAAAACAAAAATTATAAAGTATAGCATTTTTTTAAATAAATATTTTGTTACAAATTAAGTTTTGCATTGTACTGATATTGTAAAAATTATTGCGAAAGTAATTTATTATAATATTAGATTGATACCCTTAAGAAACCCCTTGCAGTTCTAATAACCGGCGAGTAATAAGTTTGCGAATATTCAATCAATACTCGAGTGTCATAATATTACTCCACTGTATAAATTTAGGCCCTAAGCATTTAACAAAGCAGCCAATCACCTACTAATTAATCATTCAATTTCTCATTTTTTTTTGAAAACCTAAGCGAAGCTAGGCAGTATGCCTATTTTATAATAAGACACTGCGGAGCACTGAAAAGCACTGCATGGTGCGCTGTTTACTTTTATGGTTCCAAAATCTATAGTGATGACAGAAGGAAGGACTGACACACTACCTGGCCGCTTATATTATAGATATATATATACATATATATATATATACATATATATATATATACATATAAATATATATATATATATATATATATATATATATATATATATATATATATATATATATATATATATATATATATATATATATATACATATGCATATGCATATACATGTACATATACATATACATATATATATACGTCAAAGTTTTGACACCCCCGCTCCCCCCCCCCCCTCCCCTCCATTAGACGAACCTGGCTATGCCACTGGCTTAATTATATCTAGAGTCCTTGTTTTCGCAGTTCTCCTGTTGAGTATAGAATACAGTTACTCGAAAAAGGCAGCTATACCAATTGTAAACGGAGACGGACCAAGTCTAAGATAATTATCATTAAAAAAGTTTTTAAAAACCCACGTTTTCTGATTGAACTAAAAAGTAGAAAATAAATGCTATACATCACAATAATGCAAGCGATCACTCTGCTATAAGCGATGAAAAACGTGGGGCGCCGAAGTAAAAGTTTTTTATCGGTCATTGTTAATATAAGATGTAAAAGTTATATTACTATTGATTAGATAATACTATTGACTTTTATTAGGGAGCTTGTAGAGAGTCAACAGTATTAGAAACTGTAAGAAAATCACGGCGCCCAACGTTTTTCATCGCTTATAGTAGAGTGATCGCTTGCATTATTGTGATGTATAGCATTTATTTTCTACTTTTTAGTTCAATCAGAAAACGTGGTTTTTTTAAACTTTTTTAATGATAATTATTTTCTACTTTTTAGTCTTTGTCTGTTTGCATTAAAATCTTGCTATCGATTTTATCTTTTCGCATTCACTTTTTTTTTTTTGGGTAAACGAAGACAACTCGTAAAAAACCAACACGTGCCTTGAATCCGTGTCGAGTGGGTTAGCAATCGTGTGCCCAACCACTCGACCATATCGTCTCCCCCATACTGGCCACCAGTTGTTCCGGTTGTTTGTACACAAACACCGCGTGACCAAAAACTCTGTAAGCCAAAAGAGGGAGAGTACCGAACCTTGTTTTCATCAAATTACAGTTACTGGGTTATGTCCCTTTTCCCCCCATGTTTTTTGTACAAATATATAGCGGTCTAAAATGATCAATAAAATGTTTCCATTGATCAATTTAGTAATAATAACAATTGAATATTCTATTGTCATCGGAAACAAAGCTTCCCTGAAAATTTCAGCGCGCTAGCTAACTGGGAAGTGCCCGAAATTTCGATCGCAAGATTTGATTGGAGAACCAAACAAACAAACAAACAAACAAAACAAACAAACAGACGCGAAAGCAAGTTAAAGAAAACGTGGGAAAAAACCAAGACAGATCAAATCAAAGAAAAACGAAGACGGATTAAGTCTAAGAAAATATCCTTGAATCTGGGGTTGAGAAAGAGGTAAATGATGACGTTCATCAAACTGTTCGCTGAGCTGAGAATATTAATGACAGGCACCTGCAAGATTAGGTAGAAACCGCTGCCTTGTACGCCATTGACAGCGTACAGCTGGCTACTCACCAATCCAATCAAGTAGATGGACGAGTGGATAACAACAAAAACGAAACAGACGCTGAGCAGGGTCCTCGTGGTTCGTGATGACGAGACGGATTTAGAAGAGGATGAAAGGACCTTCCTCTTTCTGTTGGTGAGTCGGATTTTTATTCCTATAAATATGCAACCGAGAGTGACTAGTATCAAAGGAATGATCGTGCTTAAAGCGGACATGATTTCGTAGCTAAATAAATCAAATATAATTTTGTTTTCAAGGAACCAGTCACTATAGTATATTCTTGCAATAAACTGCTTATAAGTTTCCGTGTAGTAATATTGAAAAGTATACACAAAACATGTGCAGAGGCTCCATGGCAGCCAAAACAAGAAGACGAATATGACCATAGCCTTAGCTCTAGGCGCCGTGACGATCGTTGAGAACCTGAGTGGGCAGAAGACAGCTAGACACCGCTCGAACGTTATCACCACCGTCACGAACGACACGCAGTTGGAGCCCATGTTCTGGATGAATTCGATTCCGATAAAACCGATGAACGCGGCGTAGCCAACATTGCGAGGTACGATCCAGCCCGGAAGCAATAAACTGACCCCTGGTCCAAATACGTAAAAATATTTGGCAATGTTGATCTGTATAGCGCATATATCTGCAATAGCCAGGCCAAGAGTGATGATGTTTGACGGTTTGTCTAGGCCGCTCCTCACAAACACCATACAGGAAATAACGTTTCCTAGCAAGCTGAGGCAAAAAATGACCGGGATGACGAAAACGTACAGATAGTTAGCGATTTCAACCTCGTATGAGAACGCGCCAAGTGATCCTCTTTGTCTGCCAGTTGTGGACATTTTCGTGCTGTTTGTCATGTCCAAAAACGAAAATGTCGTTGAGATATTTTGAGGAACTAATTCAGCTACTGACGAAGTATTTGCAGTATCCAACAGACAGTCAGTGTCACTTGTAAAATTCTGTGCGTTTTTAATGTTGGCTGAACATGGTATTATTGTGGTTAACAACGTGTTCACATTTTCTGTGGCAGTGACGATGTTCAGGTTGGGTTGAATCATCCCTTGTGTGCTTGCTGCATCTTCAGTGTTCATCTCATCGTCTGCCATGGCTACACCGTTTAAAGTTATCAGAGAAATTACGTGTATAAAAACGACACAAATGATCATTATAAACATTGTTTTTTTTTTTAATGTTAATCTTTGAACATTAGTGTTTGTGTTAAAATTAAAAATGAGATAAGCTAAAATATATTGAAATATAAATGCGCGAATTTTTTTTATTTTAAATACCGAAATATTTTAGTTTGCTCACACTTTTGCTTATGCAACTGACAGTTTAAGGCTTAAAACCTTTTTTTCTTTAATTTAAAATTTACATTGATATATAATAATTCATATGTAAAGCCTGTTAATAAATTTTTAATTTTATTTTCATGTTATTTAATCTGGAAATGTTTGCGAACACAAAATGAATTTATCTCTGAGTTTTTAATATATTTTTTTTTATAAAAAGACGGAATTGTTTCTAGCGCTGAAGGCAGATTTCTTTCATGGCATTAAACTAAACAAAGCCAGTAGATCCTATAAGATATGCGTTCGCTGCAATGGGCGTTTAAGTGAATATAACTTAAAACGTCTATAGCAGACTGTTAGTCATCGATACATTTAAGTGGTATCGTTTATGGAAAAAGATTCATTGATATCAAATAAAGTAATCGTTTTATTACTGTGTCTTACAGTTAGCTACTTGATGATTTTGGACCCCGTGAACGATATTTACTACAAGCGATACCACTTGTATGTATTGATATTCTTATTGAAGACAGCTATTTAGCGATTAGTTTAGGAGGCAACTCTTGCTGGCTTTGAACAACTTTGAGAAAATTAGATTCTCTTTTCAAGGGTTACACCATCATTAAACATGATAAACATTAAACAATAAAGGAATGGAGAAGTTCCCCTCGACACAAGAGGGAATCAATCAAAAGAACCATCTTATGGTGGTACTTTTAAGAACCGTCTAAGTTTTAACGAGACCTTTGTGATACACGACTCAAGTCCACTCGTGAGAAGTTATGTTACAGTTGTTGACACGGTGATGTCAACACAATGGCGCTTTAAAAAACGCCTGGGAGAAAACCAAGACGCTTCTTTGTCTACAGTAAGGCCAAGGACACCAAATTATGCATCAATTAAGGCTTTACGAATAAAATATCTTCATAAAATTATGAACAAAAAAAAGCCTTTTTAAATTATTTTAACATTTATTTTTAAAATTTAAGTTGAAATTGGCCAACGGGCAAAGGTATTTTGATAAGAAATTATCATTTTTGCAAGTCCCGATCTGTTTAAGTAAAATGCTATTTTTAAATCTCGGAAAATTATTTTAGAGTATGATTCCAGACAGAATTTTACAGACGATGATGACTGAGAATAGTTATGGAGGATGAGCACAAGGGATAAACAACTCTGTAAGAACGTAGATCAATTGTAAATACTTGCTCTCACCGTGTTAATGTGTGATTATGTGTGGTTGATACAAACGTGTTAGTAAGTCGTTTGACTTGTGGCTGATACAGTGTTAGTGTGACGATGTAGTCCAGTGTATCTTCTTCAACTTCACTCTTAATTGTAATATCTGTGGGGATTTCGTGTCAATACTTTGTTCGCCATATGGCCCGTTGACTCCGACTTCAGACTGCTTTTTTTGTGGATTGGCTTTCAATGTCAACTGTCTATAATTTAGTAATATAGAGTATAATCAGTTTTTTTTTTTATATTTCTAACCCATTTGGCGCTCACACCCCTCACCCCAGAGTTGCTCCACCTTCTTGTCCCTACCTATTCCTCTTGGCATTAACGGATTAGGGGGGGTGAGAAGGCAGCAGTGTGGGGCCCTCGATTTGTCGGAGCCCCCAAATTTTCTCTTACAAACCATAGTAAATTTCACTTGAAAACTTACGTTTTTTTTATATTTTATTAAAAAACCAATGTTTTAGTATGTGCTATATAGTTTATTCTGTGTGTCCTAATAAATTCGGACTCATTTATTTACCACAAGGTTGTGTATATTTCTAAACTTGAGTCCGGCTGGCTATTACTGAGCTAGCAGCATGATTATATTTCTCATCTTGGTTTATTTTATAGTTGTTAAATCGTTTTTAGGCAAGTGGCTTTCATTCAGTGTCTATTAGGAAAATCGGCCTTCGAGCGAACGTCATTCGGCCAAGTGTCTTTCGGGAAAACGTCAAACCCATATATATATATATATATATATATATATATATATATATATATATATATATATATATATATATATATATATATATATATATATATATATATGGGCTCCAAAAAATTTCCGTCCGGGGCCCCGCTCAAGCTTAATCCGCCCCTGCCTCTGGGTAACAGTTGTTTGATTTTGGTTTTCTCTATCCAAGATGGGTTGCTGTCGCCCCTCTTACTGCGCTTCATATGGCGAGGTTCTGAAATTGGGACTTTTGGAGTTAGCAGTCGTGCTCTTTCCTATTCGTAGCTTTTTCTTAGCTGGTGGTCGAACTTTGACCTTTGCACAAAAAAAAAAAACTATACCACGCCTAAACACTCGGCAATAATGTACCTCAATGGAGCATCAGGGGAGGTAATGTTGGTTTTCTTCACTAACCCTTACTTCAGGGAAGGTATGGTTTTTTTTTCTTAGTTAAGCAAACACCAGGGGAGGTAATATCGTTTGGATCATTGCAGTGATACGTGCTCAGCGTGAAGTGGCATGAAGAAAGTGTGATGGGGCGACAAGACACCCGCCCCCTGGAGGGGAAGAATGAGAGCTCTATGACGGGTCTCGCAGACAAGAAGAAGGTGATGGGTGGAATGTTGGCAGGTACTAACTTTTACAGCAATTGATTCGTTTACTTTGTCCTGTTTCTTTTTTATACGCAGGTTTTTGTTTTATGCTTCGGGTCAAGTGAGCAATGTTTTTAAAGGAGATCTTTGGTAAAGGTGTAGAAAGAAAAAGAAACTTATTCTTTTTTTCGGGGGGGGGGGGGGGGGGTGACGACCAAGTTCTGTGACGAAATTCTTTTGCTGTTTTTTTTTATATACTTTATTTTATTTTAAAGGCTTTAGGTAAATTACAATAGAAAAATCGATTAATATACAAATACAATCATGGCCTAGCTTAAAAATATTTTATATAACAAAATAAAAGGAGTTAGAAAGGATAGGTAGGCTGAAGTGGGATGGTATTTGCGAAGGGGGAGGTGGTCTGACTTTTTATGACGTTTGTTGTGGAGGAAAGTCTGGAAAGCGGGTAAATATCGGACAAACAACTGCGATGTTGTCTTCCTATTTTATTTTATTTTATTTTATTGCTTGAAATTTTTCCGTTTGCTTGAAATTTAAATTTTTCCTTGTGCTAAAGATTTTACTAGACCTGACAACACCATGACCTGTCCGGTTTTCTTTTTAACTCTAGCCTGCATGTCAACTGGAATCAACTTTATGAATCCTGTGACGAACTGCGTCATTTGAAACGGGTGTCCTTATGATAATGTTGTCTGGTTAACAAGGAGATAAGAGAGGTTACGAGCGTTAAAAAGTTGTTGAGAAAAGCGATCGCATGCTTCTAAGGGTTACATGCGTTGGGTGAGTTGGCTGGCAATGGCGTAGGCAGGGGGTGGGGGGTAGACCTCCCTCAAGGACCGCCACAATTAAAATTGAGCCACTTTCAGATATATAATTGACGATGCTGCGCTCTTATCGTCGCATGTTTATATCATAAAAACAATAGATATATGTGGGTTAGAGCCTTCTCCCCACCCCCCCCCACCCCCCCCCCCCACCCCCCGCGTGACGAACTCCCGTATGCGCCAATGTTTGCTGGTGACGACGAGGTCTTCTGTTCAGTTTCGTTTTTATTCGGGGGAGGAAGAATGTATATGCACTTGCCGCTAGTGGCCTGCGAAATGAAATAGTTGCGTGAGCTAAATTTAGACCTACTCACGCCATAAAAATGCGGTGCGCTAAATATAGTCCAGCAGAAGTCACCTTTAATTAGCTATGACAGTAAACGATGCAGGGTACCTGCGCTTCATTTCATGAAGCCCCCACCCCCACGGGAACAGTAAACAGCTCAAAATAAACCCCACGAAAGTAAATTAAAAAACATACTTGCGCTAAATTTATGGGTAAAATAGTCTTCAATGAAAGGATACATACATTCAAGTGGAAAACAAAGAATTACGTTTTAAACGAGTGTTTTCGTTTTGTTTAAACTATTTACAAGTTGTTAACATAGTTTGTCTTTATATGGCGCGTGGGTTTGTTCCTTTAACTAGATTGATACTTTCCCCATTATCTGTGACTAAAGGAATCAAATCTGTGTGTGTGTGTGTGTTTGAAATTATTACATCGATAAATTACCATACAATAGATCGATCCTAGTCTAGGAATTTAGACCTAATTTATCCTAGTCAAAATCGATACTAAAATAGATCGATCCTAAACTAATCTGTCATAGACTCGATCTACCTTCAACTTAAGACGGATCGATCATCTATTTTATCCTAGACACAAGTTTGTATTGACAGAACAGATTCTAAAAACAGTTTCCTTGGATAGAGCAGATCACAAAACTAACTTTTTGCCTGTCTCATCCAGCAGGGTGACTTCAATGGTACACGGCATCACCGACATCATCAAAATGTGGTAGCCATCTTGTTTCTGGTCACGTCTAATTTGGCCAGGTGTCGTAAATCTTCAGATATACCAAGGTAAAGTAGTCAAGTCTGATGTAGCATAGTGTAGTTTCTCTGACCTCGACACTATGTCTAGCTGATTTTTCCTCGATTTATGCCAGGTACTCATTAAAGCTGGTTGAACTCAAGGAACCTATCTCAATATTTTACTGTTAGCAATCGTGTGTCTCATAACCACGCAGTCAAGAAATATACATTCGAATTATAATCAATCAACACAAATTCTCAGGTTTAATGAATGAACCAGCGCATAATTCTAAGCGTGCAACTATTCCACTCGTAGTTCACCTCTCCTTGTTTCTCCAGCATTCTCTGCATTCAGCAAATTGTAAACTGATCACATTTGTTTAAATATCTCACGTGCTGCATAAAAATGAACAGCATCCCAGCGTGAGTACCAGAAAATGTCAGCAATGTGTTTATGCGCGTGCGGCGAGCGAGCTAGGGGGTCTGCACAACATGAGCATACCGAAAGTGACAAATGGCATTTGATATTTTGTTGTGCTGGTTGCTATGCTAGGGTAACCAATGCCGGGTGTAAAAACACGCTTCGGGTAATGGCTAAACAAGGTGTCAAAATGTCGGGTGTAAAGACATTTTACACGGCCGGTCACGTGGTGGTTAGAGAAATATTGTCGTAGACAGTGGCTTAGCTGTGGGGACGGAGGGGATGGGGTAAACATTGGGGGGGGGGGGGTGTCAAAAAAACGTATAAATATTATGTAACTTTGGAGAAGGGATAAATATGCAGTTTATCAAGGTGTATTGGTAAATAGAGTTCATTACGAATACATATTTTGTACATCAAGATGTGCGGGTATATCAAAATGTGAGGTACATCAAGTTAAGCGGGTACACATAGGTGTGGGTTGTCATGGTCAATCCATGGTCTAGCGTGGGTTGTCATGGTCAATCCATTGTCTAGTGTGGGTTGTCGTGGTCAATCCATTGTATAGTGTGGGTTGTCATGGTCAATCCATTGTATAGTGTGGGTTGTCATGGTCAATCCATTGTCTAGCGTGGGTTGTGGTGGTCAGAAATACAGAAATAACAATTGATAAAGTTGAAAATAAGGTCTAATATTTGAGTACTAACCCGCATTAACCGATTAGATTCTGAATGTGAGAGACCGCCACCCCCATCATTGTTTACATTATTAATGTACTGTTAGTAAATAAGCAATGTTTGTCACCCCCACCCCTAGCCCCCTCCATTGTTGATTGTCTAGTTTATACCCTGTGTGTGGATGTTAGGACGTCACTCCTTATCAACACAGCGCGTGCATTTGTCAGATTTAGAATTTTAAAAACTTCACGGCGGATGAATACATCAAGCGGAGACATACCGTTTTGGCTCACCGTTGTGACAAGGACACTGAGCAGACTGCGCACGCATGCAAGAGGTGCACGTGGCTGCTCACGTCTACCCTCACTAACTCACTTCTGCTAAAAGAGCGCGTGTTTTATTTCATTGAAATTTCTTCAGCTAAAGAGTATATTGATTTGTTTGCACTTGAAACAGCTGCCGATGTTTTGCTACGTTTTAAGAGTATCTATCAAAATACTTCTTAAGCAAGAAAACTATTTGACAATATCACTAGGTATATTGCCTTGTGTTCCACCTTCGAGATGAATATCTGTTTCTATATTCTTGTGTGTGCTTTTACAATAAATGATGGGATATATGTCGTCCTGACAAGTAATGTCACCCCCATGTCACGACACGCCCATGTTAAGTCACCCCCATGTCACGACACGCCCATGTCAAGTCACCCCCATGTCACGACACGCCCATGTCAAGTCACCCCCATGTCACGACACGCCCATGTCAAGTCACCTCCCATGTTACGACACCCCCATGTCACGACATACCCCATGTCACGACACGCCCATGTCAAGTCACCCCCCATGTCACGACACGCCCATGTCAAGTCACCCCCCCCATGTTACGACACCCCAATGTCACGACATACCCCATGTCACGACACCCCCATGTCAAGTCACCTCCCCCCCCCCCCTCATGTCACGACACGCCCCATGTCGTCACACGTGCCAGCGAGGTCATACCGTCCTATTCTGGAATCTCTGACACAAGTTGTTTTCTCTTCACATTATCGCCCTTGGCAAATTGTATAAGTCACAACCCAACATCCCACAAGTGGTATAAGTCACAACCCATTTTCCACAAGTGGTAGAAGTTGTTGTTAACTTACTGTCCGGCAAAGGTTTTGTCCTGGGATGCTTTCTTCAACTGAACCCAACGGCGACCCATCTTGTGCTTGTTTCTCCAACTGTCCGGAAGGGTGACCCATCTTTCTTGTGCTAATTTCTGCAACTGCCCCCATTGGTGATCTATCTTTCTTGTCATCCTATGCAGAAGATGGGAGTCAGACTCACCATGACAAACATACAATCTACATATTGCAACTTAATGAACATACAATACAAACATCATAAATATGATTGGTAAAAGCTAACGAAATCACACCTTAACATATTTAACAGCATTTAATCGATTAGCTAAAATTTCTAGAAATAAAGGCAGTGGTGGGTCTACTTTTTTAAAAATATCCCTAAATTCATTTGCACATCAGATATAGAAATGTTTAAATAAAGTTGGAGCCGCCATATTCACCCCCCCCCCCTTATAACTACACTCCCCACAGTGGCGTCACTAGGTCGGGTGTCAGCCGGGGTGCTGTAACTGAGAGTATCACCCTACCCTCCCCCTCCAAACATTTTTCGGTTTGGTGTCACCCCTATATTATTTTATATATCAACTTGATAAAACATTGTTTTGACAGTAAAGGTTCTGATTTGTGTCACTCTGGTGCCACCCCCTATCTGGTGTCGCCCGAAGGCGAGAAAGCAACCCCCCCCCCTTGTATCCATGAATAAGCTAGTCACTGCCAATCTCACATATACACTGATGCTTATCACACCCAGTCCTTCCACACAACGCATCCCCCCCCCCCCCCCCCCCCAAAAAAAAAAAAACAACTTTGGAGCCTGGCGGTCCATGGGTCAGATAAAGTCGCGTTAATCTGTTTCCCTGGGGGGAAAATGTTATATGAACCAATAGTGTGGTCAGCACTATGCCCAGCCACTTTTTCCCTAAGGTAATTCAAGTTACATGTTATGGCTGAATGGTTATATGAACCGATAGTGTGGTCAGCACTATGCCCAGCCACTTTTTCCCTAAGGTAATTCAAGTAACATATCAGGGCTGAATGGACTCATTGACGCTCTGCCCTCCGACCCTGCCGTCCCCCACACCATATCTATTGCACCACATATTTACCTCCCCAGGCAACCACACCCCACACATATACTCCCCTCGCACATCAATCCACACGCCACAATCCACACCCCACAAACAAAAACCCTAACATATCCACACATCCACCAGAGTTTCTTCCAGGCATCTCTTCCCCCCGAAGAAAGTCTACCCCCCCCCCCCCCCCCCGAACGAAATGGAATGGAGAAAAAAGTCTGGAAGAAACACTGACAACCACTCCACCCACACATCCAAGCCTCACACAGTCATAACCCCACAACCCCGCCCTGCCTGCTACATGCACTAATCATCCACTCCCACAATGCTCTGGAATTTATGAATGAGATCAGCCACGTCACACCCGGCGCGTAAAACTACGTCATAGTCATGTGGTCGGCGTGTCTTGACTTACGCACGTTATATTGCTTTGACCTAATTGGGGCAACAGTTTTATCAGCCGTGATGTTCGTACTTCGGGCGTTCGTAGACCGGGACGTTGGTAAATCGTGATATTTAATTCCTGAGATCCCAATGTTTCAGGGAACCAGTCCCTAGGTCCGATCAGCCACAAGAGGTCAGGGGTCATGTTAGAATACCTGCTACAACAATGGCACGATTTGATGCGAATTAAATAATGATAGACGGTCATTTATGGCACCCCTACTTACACGGTGTACGCCCCCGACAACCCCCTCCCCAATCACCTTCATGTGCCCCCCTCCCCTTACACCACCACCATTTCTTTACAACAATGTAACGAAAAGCATGGCGTAGCAGCGCTTACCTGGTTCGGAAATATAGAGCTCCCAACTCTCATATACATGAAAATTTCACTGTTATATACGGAAGTAAATTAAAGGAGAATTCAAAATGAGTTAGCCGATGGTTTCAAAACAAGAATACAAATATTCACAAGCCTAGCTTTGTTTTTGTTTTTGTATTTTTCTTATGTTTTTTTTTTCTAATTTCATTTTTTTCAAATATCCCAAAACTGAAGACTATGCATGTAGTGACAATAAAATTCATTTTTTTTTAATTGAACTATTAGCCGTTCGCATTAGTTTGAGCATGGAATCATCAAGAAAATAGCAGTTTAAATGGAAATTAAACTAACCGAAAGGTTAAATGACAACAGGCTTTTTATCTAATTTCACCCCCACCCCCACCCAGCACCTTCTTTTCCCTCATTTGCATAGTTTGCTGATACGTATGTGTGCATGGTAAGTAACATTTCCTAACCCCCTCCGTACGTCTAGCAATTGGAATGTACCCCCCCTCCTCCCACCTACCCCACTGCCACTGTAAGGTCCGTATCAGTACTTAAGGTCGTTACTTTCCTTCCCAATACAAGCTAGCCTCTAGCAGTATAAAACTTAAGGCATCGCAGCGCGTCTTGGTGTAATTTGTGTTGTTTTAGCAGGTATAAAGGGACGGCACTCACTGCAAAAATGAGACAGTCGGGCCGCGGTGACGTTCCCTGAGTTAAAGTATTGACAGACAGCTGGGACACAGTTTTTATTTCTCACTTTTTCACTCAGACTGCAAGGTAAAAAAACAATTTTCTAATTTTTTATTTAAAATATGCATGCTTTAAAAAAACCGAGTGTATTGTTAAACTTTAGATGTTTCTAAAACAATGCATTTAAAAATGTTTTATTCTATGGGTATAACCCTGGGTATAAAGTCCAACATTATGTGTATGGTCTGTTATTTTGTTCTTTAAAAAATAAAATTTTAACGATAAAAATATACGATGGTCCACAAATTACTAGAGTTGGATCATACCATCCTTTAATAGAAAATCCAGATTCTCATAAAAACTCTATTTTTTTAACTATTTATTTGTGTAGCATTTGTGTTATTAGTTAGATATAGCTATTTGGTTCATAATTTTAAGATGCTAATTAAACTTAACAATATGTGAAAAAAAAACTTAACTTTTTGTGTCGCCACACGGTAACGTAATTAAAAATTGTATGAGTGTAATCAGGTCTACAAATATTTACTGGAATAGATGTGGGCTCATAGCACTAAATCCGCGACGTTCTTAATTAAATAGCCAACCAAAGCTAGTATTTCAAGGAAGACACGACCTGAAATGTCAAGGTTATGATCGGGTGTTTGAAGCTTGAAAGTAAAACTTGTTTCAGCATTAGCACATTTTTTATTACATACGTTTTATAAAATAATACTTTTCTAGTTTCTAAAGCTTTAATATAAAACAAAACTTGTATAAACATGTTTCGTCCATGGCAACGTTAGAGCTCTGCTGGTCACTGTCAGAATTCTGGCCACTGCCATCTACTAACCCCCCCCCCCTTACACCCCCCCCCCCCCTTCCCCCCCCCCCCCCCCGGGGCCACCTGCCTGTTGTCCCCAATGTTTTTTTAGTTCAGCCGCATAGGGAAGGGAAACCTGAGAGAAAACATTGTAAACGCGTTCACTGTAGGACACTGTAAGTAAATGGATAACTTGTCCCACTGTGTTTACTAGGACTGAAAGAAAACGATTTTTATTAGTTGATGTGCCGATACTAGTATTGATGTATCGTAGGCAACAGCTTGATATCGGATATTTTTGATCTACCTATAGAATTGATGTATCGTGGTCGACGATACCTACTTGGTATCGGACATATGTGATATTTTAAACAAAGTTCCGATTTCCTGCATTGTTTTGATAATCGCACTTATTTTTTTTAAGCTTTTCCCACTCATTTCACAGCGAATCAACTCACATTACTTTTCATTTTGAACACTTGAATTTGGATATTTTGTAATCATTTCCTAATCATATATTAAACACAGTATAACCATTAATTCATCATAGTTTATACACAACATCTCTATTACTAATTCACGATACAATTACTAGCTCATCCGAAGTTAATTAGTGCAGAAAGTGTAAGGAGGGTTGAAATCGCAGGTTTTGTGAAAAGTTCAGAGGTCATTCAGTGTCTCAAAAGCTGGTGAGGGCCGAGTGTCAATACAAACGGAGGAGTGGGGGTGTAATGGGGGAGGGGGTGACGAGTGTCAACACAAGTGGGGGATGGGAGGGGTGAAGATGTCAACGAGGGGTGAGGTATACCGGAGGGAGGGTGGGGGAGGGGCATGTTCACATTTGGATGTGAAAGTTGCCTGTGGACCAGGGACGTCACACCTCTCGGGTTTACGTGTTGTTGTTGTTGTTTGGTATTTCTTGTTTTGGTTTTATTTCTTGACGAGTAGTTAACCTTACAATTTTGAATAGACTTGCTAGATCCTAGGCATAACATGGTGGGTGACATTTTAAATAAGTGCTAGTTGAGACAAAATCCTCCAATAGAAACGGCTACACTAGAAGCATAAGTGCAAATAATACCGTAAGTAGATTTTTACTGACCGTTCTGACGTCACGAATTTAGGTGAGCGATGGGGTGTCCAGTTATTTTAGGCCGTGGTAGGGGGGGGTGGGGTATTCTCAAGAAATATGACGCAGCAATCCGCAGCATGCCTTTTGTATGTGTTGAAAATAAAATGAAGCGTTATTTTTTTTTTTAATTGTAGGTGCAGGGGAGGGTGGGTTTTTTTTCGCTTTTTTCTGGGTGTGGAGGGGGGGGGGATGCATAGTTGTGAAAATCAGGTACAATAATATGACATTATTTTATGAAGCCCTTAAAATTATGAGGTTTTTAATGCACTATTTTCGCCATTGTCGTTAAAATCACAAAATATCAATAGCCAGAAATGTGTTACGTGTGTTGGTGTTTAAACTGTAAGTCTACTCAGATCGTACTTTTTATACATTGATTAAAAACTGAAACTTTTTTCTTCAGAATATTGTGTGTAGAAGCTTCTTTCTCCTCCAATACCTTGGACGATACAGCATCACTTCCGGTACTTCAAATCAGGCTTTCCAACAGGCTCACCTGCCGCAGGTTACCCTGTGCAGCCTGCCTGCGAGATCTGTATGACGGTAAAGAATCCGGAGCGCCTGTAAAAATCCCACCCGGATCTCAACATCCATTCAGCGAGCACTTCCTTGATCCAACCAATCAAATTCACGAGATGATGCCACGTGACGAGGACAAACAAATAGAAAATGATACGCCATTATCCTCTTTAAAGCTTTTAATTCCCGCATCCTGAACGATCAGCGTTTGACAAGTAGCAATTACTTGACAATTGGACAATATTTTGTCAGTAAAAACACACCGCTTGAAATCGGTCTATTCACATTTGAACCCATCAGTCTAACAGGAGAAGCCAAGAGCAAGAGAACACAAAACATGATGACGTCATATTTCATGTTTTTTGAGCTTGCCGTCGTGCTGAGCTTACTCAATGAGGTAAGAAAACATTTCTAGCATCCATTTTAACAGTCACAATAAATCTAGCTTGAACGTTGTTTTAAGAATCGGCTAGAAAAAAAAAACGTATAGTTACTTTCTAAAGCTGTGTTCCACAAGTGGCATTTCGTACCTATCGCGATTACTTAACATCTGGACCTTGCTCAGACGATCTTCTGTTACTGTACTGCTCTTGTTTATTGATACTTTTAACTCCGAACATAATACCAAGACCATAGTTCTTCATGAAACCCAATGGGTAGATTTTAATCAGTTCGTGTCATGTCACTCCTACCTCTCCAGCTTCATTTTCAACAAACACCTTCCACTTCCCGGCCATTCCAGGCCGTCAATTCTGCCTGTTGATTTTATTCATGTGTCTACCTAAGGATGTTGTTTGTTTTTGTTTGTTTTTTTTTCTTCTGGTATCATTGACATGTATTTATGTCTAAAAAATGTACTTTTTTATCTCAGTTATTTTCAGTGTCTTTGTTTATTCCTGGGTCAAATTTTGTTATGGTACACCAGAATGTTTAATACATTGTTAATGTTTAGTGCTTGGAAGGGATGGTTGAGTGATAGAGCTCTCGTCTGCTAGCCTGAAGGTCTCGAGTTCGGAACTCGGTCCGGACTCGTGACTGAAGGACGTCCTTGAGTCCACCCAGCTCTGAAGGATACCTGACTTACGTTAGGGAAAGTAAAGATGGTTGGGATAATACTGACCACACCATCCCTTCATACGCCGAGGTCAAGAAACATGAACAACTTCATCTGCCCTATGTGCCCTGAAAGGGAAACTTATTTTCTGTTTACTGTTTAGTGCAGTTTATTTTTTTAAAGTTAAAATATCAACATAGAACATTGAGAGGCAATACTCAAAGTGCTACTGTCCTAGATTTTTACGGACGATCTTGGAGACCTTTCAAAAGTAAACAAACAAAGCGGAGTGGGGAAGGCTCCACTATTTGATGAGGACTTTCGGCTAAGCTCACTAGGGCTGTGCCAAGTCGTAAAGTCATCCCGCGACAAGTTACTTCAAGGTAGTTACATTAGAGTACACCAGTGGGGGCGCCAGTGGGAGGCGCCAGTTGGGGGGCAGCAATAGGAGGCGCTAGCGCTGGGCACCAGTGGGGAGGGGGGTGGCGCCAGTCGCAACCCATATATTTTACTTTTTCTAACATTTTCTGGCTGTTTGGTGTTACGGAAATATAACATGTTGATTGGTCAAGTCTGGAATTATGGTCTTCTAGTTGGTCTGATGATTGGTTAAAATGGTGTGTGGGGCGGGAGAGGGCGATAGGAGAATAGTATGACAATGTGATAATAGTGTGCTACAGATAGAGGGAGATCCCATATATAGATGGAGGTGGCACATATAGACTGAGCTGCTACCTATATCTTGGGGTGCCAAATATAGAGGGGAGGTGACACATGTAGAATTAGGTGCCGCATATAGTGAGAGGTGCTACATAAAGAGGGGTGCACCATACAGATGGAAGTGCCCCATTTAGAGGGGCTGCCAAATATAAAGGGAGGTGCCACATAATGAGAAGGTTCTACATAAAGAAGCGATGTCCCATATAGAGGATGGTGCCCCATATAGAGGGAGGTGCCCCTTTATAGAGGGGGTGCCACATTTTTTACAGCCAAATAAGCTTCAGCATAAACATTCGATATAAACCTACTACATAAAAATTGCATGTATAGGCTAAACATATTATATTAACACTAGAGATAAACAATTGCAATAAACATTTTATCAATAGTTTATGGTATAAGGAATGTTGCTTACATGAGCAATGTTAATTCAGTTCATAATCAACAGCGAAAAGTATAATCAGAAAGAAAGCTAACCCCCACCTAAAAATAGAAACTTGATTACATGATGAAGAGCGAATGCGCAGAATCGCCCCAGCCGCGGGCCAATGTAAACTAAATTAGACGAGCCCTCGCTGACATCACATGCCCTGTCAATTTTACACGTGGCTCCGAGTGAGTAACAATACCCACCCACTACACGTGCAGGCATTGTTTGGGAGTAAATCAGATGTAACCCTCCCACACCGACCTTGAGTGCGCGCTTTTTTTCCCCGGGGTCGTAACTTTTGTGCGAGCGACGTTCCCTGAGCATTCCTTGATTACCCTGCTATAAATACAATCGGATATTTCCGTCCTTGCAAATGGCAGGTCGCGCCTCGTACCTTACTGCACCACATACGTCACGCGCACAACAAGCTTTTATTTAGATATCAAAATGTTGATATTTTTAGCCAAAGATCAGATTACCTGCAGTTTACAAACACATAAACAAAACAAAAAGGTGGAAGTTAATACGTTCAGTATTTAAATAATATTACATCGAAAGATCTACTTGTCCCTTGTTGCAGTATTTGGCCAAAACATAGTCTGATCAAAATCAAAATTATTGCTGCAATAAATGAAGGGTACTTATAAAAGCTGAATATCTTGCGTATTTAAAATCTTAGTTGGAAGGTTGGTCATCAACTGCCACTCACATAAACACCCCACAACTCGATCACTTAGTCACACAACAACTCAATCACTTAGTCACCGAACCACTCGATCACTTAGTCACACAAAAACTTCGGTTTTAAGTTCAACCACAAATGACCAATCAGCACCACGTGATTAACTGGCTGGTTAGATAACTAAGCTAGGTGTGCCACTTGCCATTGTTATCACATATTCTAAGTTTTATATGTTGATCATGTTGTCATATGTTTATTACAGTCATATGTTTATTACAGTCCATCTTAACTTCACATTCCTGTTGATTAAATTTGTTGACGTCCATCCCGAATACACATTCCTAAGATGGCACCCTGGGATTTACTGCTAGTGCTAGGTATTTGAACCAATCAGCACTAAGCATCCACAGCCAAACATTCGGCAATCCAACTATCGGCATTGTAACCATTTGGTGCCAGTAGCGTAGCGAGGGGGGGGGGGGCATACGTCCCCGGGCGCCGACCTTAAGGGGCGCCAAAATGGTTTGGAAAAATAAATTGAAAGGTTGAGGGGGGTGCAAATCGAAAGTTTTTGAGGGGGGGGGGGGTGCAAATGGAAAAGTTTGTCCCCGGGCGCCGGGAAGGGTCGCTACGCCTCTGTTTGGTGCACACTATTCGGCAATCCAACCCTACGCCCTCTCCAACCCTTCGGCATCTAGTAAATCAGCACTCCAACCTTCGCCAACCTCCCAAAACCACGACACCGCCTGTCCGTATTCCAACCATTTTACAGCTCCAACTCTTCACCAACCTCATCATCGCCAACTCTCCAGCGCCAACCTTTTGGAATTATAAACCTTGGCCCCTATCATACTTCTATACCAACCCCTCAGCGCCAACCCCTTAGCGCCAACCCCTTCAACATTCCAGCCTTCCTTCGCTCGAACTTTTCTTAACACCTACAGATAACCCTACCAAGGTCCTCCATAAAATGTCATGCCCCCCCCCCTCCTATATTTCTACGGCGCAATAAAACAGTTTTTACTGTACAGAACAAGGCGGCCCGCGGCCCCCTTTTTTTGTAGGCGGCCGCCAACAGGTGATATTTACACCTGGGGCTGGGCGGGCGGTGAATTAATGGCGACCTAGAGTTAAATGTCAGCCATATTGGTGTCGTAAATCTTGTTACCTCCTTTCGTTGATCTGTTACAGTTGTCTGACACGTTGGGGGGGGGGATGTGATAATAACACGTGGTGGTACACATTCTTTGATTCGTGCACCCCCCCCCCCCAAACCCACACGCGGCATGTAGAAATAAAGTTTTAGAATTGTATTTTTTTTTTACTTGCCGTCGTCGTCCCCCCCCCCCCCCTCCCGACATTCACTGTGAAGAATAGAATTTAAGTGTTGGATCCTTGCGATTAATTTCCTCTTCCCCCCCCCCCCCCCGCCCATTACATTACCTATCTGCCACATTTTATTGAGGGGACACAGAATACTATTGCGTCGTAAAAATGTTATTCATCCCCCACCCGCACCAATCACCATCTAATTTAGAAATCCCTACCCCTAATCTAGTTACGAAGTTTGTTCCGTTCTCACGGAAAGAGAACAAGATTTTTTTTTTGTGACCGATAAATTCTGTATCGTAAAACGGATCATAAGCTCCAACTCGTTATCAATTTCACTTTAGTTGTGTTGGTTTAGTTGTGTCTTTTTTTTTAATTTGTCAGGACTAGTTAGTAAGCTGTTGCTTATGATAATTATTACTCTCCTTCCCCCCCCCCTCCTTTACATACACGCTAAGGCAGTTCCTCTCACATATACATCACTTGACATGTACATCGTCACCTTTTTCGATGTTACAAGAACACGACATTTCCTTCAAACCGGAAGTGGTCTGATTTTTTAACTTCCAAAATCTTGAATGAAGTAAGTATCTCCCAGTTGCTATTTCCGAACCGTCCATTTGTGTTGGAGTGACTTGTTCAGATTCAAGTGACATGCTCACGTGAGGTGACATGTACAGGTGACATCTAACGAGTGCACTTGACATCACGGTGAAACGTCGTCACACACCTGGTGACGGTACAGGCCAGGTGAGTGAGGCAGCAAAAACTTCAAACTCGAGTTCTCCTTGTTTAGACTCCTCGAATTTCTTAGTGGTCTTTAGCAAGTGCACGACTTGTTGACTTTCTTAGTGGTCTTTAGCAAGTGCAAGACTCCTTGACTTTCTCAGCGGTCTTTAGCAAGTGCAAGATTCCTTGACTTTCTCAGCGGTCTTTAGCAAGTGGAAGACTCCTTGACTTTCTCAGCGGTCTTTAGCAAGTGCAAGACTTCTTGACTTTCTCAGCGGTTTTTAGCAAGTGCAAGACTTCTTGACTTTCTGAGTGGTCTTTAGCAAGTGCAAGACTCATTGACTCTGCATCACCAGTTCTTTAGCAAGTGCAAGACCAGGGTTTCTTTCATACATTTTTATCCGGTGGCAGAGTGGGGGGGGGGGCCTGTCAAAACTTCCTTGTGGAGGGGTG